CCTTACATCCTCTCATGGATATACGAGCAGTCTTATATCCAATATCCAGTCTCATAATAATCAGAGGCATATCAATAATTTTTCATTTGACTTTATATGCCTCTGTTATAATCATGGACGTCAATCCCGGTCAATCATCATGCTACATGCAGGTAGCCATGCACAAAGATATAAAAAAATAACTGTCACAAGAAATGAAAACAAGAAAGCAACTATAAGTCAAAAATTAAAAAAAATCAACAACAAAGCAACACAATTAACCGTTGAAAACGTCATTGATTAAAGAAGCACAAAAAGTAATTAGCTTAATTAAAATAATCAGTTTTATCTATAATCATGCTGCACTGAATAATCTACATGTATTTTTGCAAGTTTGTCCCCGTCTGCTAAGATGATAATAGAGTTAAAACACACGTTTCTTAAAAAACAACTTGCACGTGAACGTGGTTATCTAGATAATTCTTTCTCCCTTGTGTACTGTTTACTTGGCCGATTGAGTATAAAGACATACGGAAAACAGTCCCAAGTAAATATGAGAGTGGAACAGTATTCCCCGGTCGGGAACGAAATAGTACACGCTCGGGTACAAGTTCTTTTAAAAACATGTAACTCAACCTTCTTATAATACAAAGCAAAGGAAATGTAAAGCTAGCGTTAAATCGTAGAATTAACAGCCTTTACTACTTTTTGAATATGAAGACTCTCTCTTTCAAGCATTCTAGTGCTTGGCTCTGATAAAAAATCAGAATGCTAGCTTAATAAATAAAAATCTATAAACTTAAATATAGTACGCAAAATGCCTAAAGATTAATTATTCGAAATGAATGTAGAGCTCGCCATCAAAATTGTCATCATCACTGTCAACAGACCTAAGCCAACTATTTATGAGTACCTGGAAAATAAATTTAACCCTTAATTATTAACAATAAAACAAGAAACTACATGCATAACATGAAGTATAAGATAAACACCCGGGTATAAACGCATTGTTGGGCGCCGAGGTAGCATTCGCCAATTCAACTGACGGCTGACAGATTACCAACTAGGCTAATTCATGTCCAAGTCATTTTAGTATGAATAGTGACTGTCACGTCAAAAACTAGGTTAAACCACCAGCTGTCATCTGGCAGGTGAATTCAACTCATTTAACTCATGAGTAGTACCTGCCACTATAAGTAATTGAGTTTACCACTGATAAAAAGTAGGTTAAACCACCAGCCGGCAGCTGAATTCATGAATGCAACCTTAGTTCTGTATTATTTCGGAGCTGTTTCTGCTGAATCCCAGGATGCGTTTTACACCTTTCCCGAGTGAAGACCCCCCGCTTTTCTCTACGTTGTGTCCTCCTCGCATGTGTCCATGCATAACCCCAAACTTCACATGTCCGTCATGTCTGCAGCATTCCATTCATTGAAAGAACCTGTAAAAAAGAATAAAATATTTAGCAGATGAGATATCAAATCGTGACTGAGACGTCAAATGTTTGAACCACGGGCCTGGGTTAAATCGAAATGTATCATTGCATTACACAAATGCGTTGCTTGCAAACATAAGTGAACCTTTACATTCGACTGACAGTCTGACAGTTACTGTTAATAATTGATTTAAATCTGTAAGCGTCTTGACCCCCGTTCTTTTCTGCGGCACGTTTTTGAAGTTTGGTTTCAAGAACTATTAATATTAAATTTATTTATTGGCGTGGGCCTTCCATTGTATGACATCTCTCACGTTCATATTTGAAGAGACCACATTTAAATCAAATTATTTCCATTACTATTTTTATTCAATTTACAGAGACAATTTGCAAAATTACGTGAAGATTGTTTCTTCTGTGTTTGTTTTAACCCTAGCTTGCAAGATGAGTTTGAATTATTACCTGACGGGAGATGAAGAATTTACCATTGGCCTTATTTTAGTTATGTATATATTACTATCTAGTTTTGGATTTGACGATCTGTGGAACTATAGAATAAATTCTGCTTCTTTCTGCTTTTAGCATTGGCAAACGTATTTTAAATACTAAAAGGAAACTAATTAATGTATGAACGATTACCTTTCCCGGGGCTAATGACTATGACCGACTCACACTGAACGAAATGCTGTTAATGAACTGAGCGTCTTCTTTTTGAACGATTAAAATCATTGTGAACAAATGAAGCTCCTCATTTTCAATTTGACTACTTCAGGCATCGGTTTTCCCAATCAAAAGCTTGTTCAAAAAGAATGTTCTTACTCCTATGGATATCTTAAAAATGAATGTGAACTCACTGAATTTAAGAATTTCTGTATTATAGGCTAACTGGTTTGTGAAATATTTATTTTTTTATTGTAAATGATTTTCAATTGCGAAGTTTGTTTTCTCTATTTTGAGAGTACGCCTGTGCGTGCATGTAGCTACAGTAACTCTAGTTGAATGCATATGGTGCTGTACAGAAAATAATTAATTACCCGTTTTTTATTAGTATTCTAGTATTAGTATATCCATGGGTCTCTTAAAAGCCCATGGTATATCTGTTGGCGGTGATGATGAAAATGCAACGTTCCACTTCCAAAAACTTACTTAATTGCCAGAAAGATTAATTTGTTTTCCATGTTGCACTGTACAATTCGTATTATTAAGTTAGGGTTATACGTCCTTTGTTCTGTGTCTCCCTTCAAAACCGGGGAAATCTCTTGTACAAAAACAGAGTTCAAGTACATCAATTTTATTTTGGCATAAATCTAACGTAGATATTTTTATTTCAGGTTGAGCAGCATTACAATTACAATATTATAACTACAAAGCTCAATTTACCTGATTTAACAGGGTTGTACATATTAATTTTCTGCCAATAGTATCAGACGAATCAAATCATGATTTAATTTCACTTAATCACGCGGTACTAACTCACCAGGGCGTATCGAAACTAAAACGCCCCGCAAACCCGTTAATTTGAATTTCAAATCTACCCTGTCTTTGGAAAATCAATGATTGTGAGTCTCAAACAACACCGTTTTTCTTCAACTTGTCTTTTAACTTGTTCCATTAAAACCTTCACAGAAATACCTTTCAGTCGAGACTGATTGCTTTTGTTTACAAAGTCCCTCGTTTTAGCGGCGTTTTGGTCCCCAGATGTGAGAAGTTTCGATACGCCCCGGTGAGTTAGTACCGCGTGATTAACTGAAATTAAATCATGATTTGATTCGTCTGATACTTTTGGCAGAAAATTAATATTAATAATTAATATGCCGAGTGAACGAAGATGAAATTGTAATGTATTCACATGGAAATAATGTGATATACAATACAATACAATACAATACAATACAATACAATACAATACAATTAATACCATGTTTGTAGGGCGTACATTCCAGTTTCTAAATATGATTACACATTTAAGACATGCATGCAGTGATATTGTTTGGATAGTTACCGACCAGTCATTCGCGTACGTAGATGAAGAAACCAAGACAGTTTCAAAGAGAAACGGAAGACGGTACATCATACATGTCTAGTTAAAAAACAGGATTATATTTATAATCTGAAAATCTGTATTTTTGAAGAAATTTCGGGGTGAAAATCTGTTTTTCGTCTTCGGGATTCAGCTAAAAAGTAATTGGAGGAAAATCACGGTTACAAAACTGAATCAACAATTCTAAAAAATTCGGATTTCTAAAAATATATCGGGATAAATTAAAACGGTTGAGATTACTTCATTTACAAGTTTATATCAAATTAGTTTTACAGTTAACATCAACGGTAATGTCTCAGAAACTAATATTGGGGATATTTCATTCGTGTGATCGTGGCATAAGCAACGACTAAGATTTGTTTTGAATTTACAAAAATGTATTTAACTTCATTCAAAATTGAGCTAGATGCTTCAAATAAAAAACATTTTAAGGCTGTTCTCTTCCTCTATCATCATCATGGTCATATTTTCAATGGTTATGGGGGAGGGTGCGATCGCACCATGGCACCACCTCCTGGCTACGCATATGACATTGTAAAACGTAACAATTTACACTTCAGTGGACGCTTCGTCGAAAATTGGGATAACTTAAATTATGCAATCAAAACCTTACACGTTGCATCATGTAAATTAACACACGTCACCTCTCTACTAAAGTAACGATAGCTATTTACAGATTTAAATCACAATCGAAACAATTCACGTACCAAACGAACTATTGAAAATACAGTAACATTGATTTGCCATGTTTTTCAAATATAAAAAGCTTTCTAATGATATTTAACTTAATATGTTATTATGTTATTAATATGTTAAATGTTCGTATTTTTTGTTTTTCTGGGTACCCGTTTTTTTCGACTGGGTACCCGGTTTTCTCGACCGGGTACCGGGTACCAAGTTGGAACCCAGTATGGAGGATTTAGTACCCGGTACCCGGTACCCGGTACCCGGTTTTTTCTACAAACCCAGATTTTTTATTTAATTCATTCATTTAATTTCATTTAATTGTGGTACTTACTTCCTACTTTCTAGTTCAACAAGTTAAACGTAAGCTTAGTCTGGGCCTTATTTTCTTTCATATCTTGTGGCCCGCCCCCGGGGGCCCGCCCTAGGTTTAACGTCCGTGCCTATTCGGCCCTTGATGCAATCACCCTTCTTCTCAGCCTATATTCTGTAGCCTATATTAGAAGCCTTAGAAGGGGGGGGTGACACACTCCCCGTGGCATGGGGAGTAGGCTTAAGTTTCTCCTCCATCTTACACATATCTCTTTCTATAGACTATTGATACTTAATCTAGAGCCGAATATTAGATGGGGGGGGGGGGTTACTCCTCGTGTCTTATGGTTGTTGTTTTATGAAAATATCACTTTTTATAGCCTTTCTGCCATATCTCTAGACTAGAGTCTAGTAGACCTACAGCCGGGCTTGTCAAAAAATGGAGACCGGGTAATAAACACATGGATCCGAAGTGTTGAAAAACCGAGTACCTATTTAATAGGGACATCATACCCCAGGCATCATAACTGTATTAATTTTATTTTTCAGGAGAGATATACCAATTCTACATATGACAGGTTGTTCCATCAAAAAGAAGGCTACAATAACAAATTATACCGATGCGACAGAGATCACGCTAAGTCTAGGGGACTTACTGTTAGAGAAGAGGTTCGTGTTTAAATGCAATATTCCCTGTAAAACAGCCACTTGAAACTCAATCCACTGTGCGTATTGAGTGAATGAATGAAATTTCAACTGGGCTAATTTTCAAATGCTCCGTTGGTTGCAAGACCAACATGTAAAGTGTATAGTAGTCAGTTTTGCAGCGGCACTAGTCAAGTCTTTGAATCCCCTACTACTTACGTGTACTTGACCCATACAGGCCCGTAGCCAGGATTTGCCAAGGGGGGTTTAGTTTTCAAAAATTTCCAGGGGGGTTCACATTTGACAATTTTGGCCCAAAATCACTTGAGAAGTGCTCAAAATGGTGAAAAACTGCATGATTTTGAAAGAATATTTGGGCGGGGGGATGGGGGGGGGGGTGCCCATAGGAGAAGATAATATGGGATTCTGGTGCTGTCATCTTTAAAACATATGACTTGACCACTAGATTCGCAAGGGTACGAGGTGTAAAATGTATATTTAAATGTACAAGTGCTGCAACCAGCTGATGATTTGAAACAATACATCCACTTGATAGACTGTGGACTATTCTGTAGAAGTGCTCTAGAAATGCATTCTGCTTTTCATGGAAGGTCACACATACCAACATATTTCAAACAATCTGTATGATTATGCTGGACACTTTCTGGGTAGTTGGACTTTATGTAGGGGTGGCAGACGGCCCTCAGGTCAATTTATACCCCTACCCCAACAAAACCTTGGGGGTACTTTAATACCACCCAATAAAAAGAATACTAATGCATATCAGATATTCATTGTTTTATAGTGGGTAGGGCATGCCATGGTTAGTCAGTGCCAGAAATTTCCAATCTCTGACTTATATGGTTACCATGGAAACAGTATTTATATCTCACAATCGTCTCAATTTGACCCCGTCCCAAATGTGTCCTTTTAGTTCTCAAAGTGAAATATTTGCAAATCTGTTTGGATTTTGTGGCTGCTACTTTGTCAAAAGTTGAATTAATATGTATGTATTCACACTAAAGCACTAAAAACTTGATATAATGATCCCATAAATTAATAATATTTATCACATGTAGTCACACACAACTGCTTTAAGGGAAAAGTGGGTGTGGCACTTTTTGGTACTTGTGTAATTGTTGCAGCATTAAATGAAAAATACATATTACACTAATAACAATTGACATTTAATTAGCATCTACTAACATTGTGTAACATTGTAATATGTTCATTATCATTATTAGATACTTTAAATATTTTATATAAGTGTTATCATGACCTTTCCCTATCATATGTCATCAATGGTCAAATTAACTTTTAGTCTTTTAGACCTTTAGAGGTCCTTAGTCTTTTTAGTTTGTCAAAGTCGTATTCATTGACTTGTACCTAGAATATGAATGGTTCCATTGATCAAGAGCTATGAGTTAAAATTGATTAATACATTTGTCAGGGTTAGAGCCATTTTATGCAATTGAAAAGTAAATGGACTGTTCCATCCTTTGAGTATGATGTTATCTCATGCTGGTGTGATTTGCATACTTGTTATGACTTGGATTAAGTTATATGAACTCATTTATCATAAAACAACCCTTCACTAGTATCTCTCATAATACCTCTAAATCATCTTCATATTCATGGCCTTAATCGAGAAGGAGGGAGGGGTTACAAACAGAGGGCAATGACAATTTGTACCAGAGCAAGGACACTGATCAGCACCAAGCGAAGGCAACGGCCGTAACCTTCGCATCTAAGTTGGCGGACGGTAATTGTCGATTTAGATATTTTTTATTTTCATTGAATTAAACTACTTTAGAGTTGGCATTATGCTTTGACATTTGTACCAAATCGGGCTTAAATGACAGTGGAACTATGGAGTATGATAATTTTTTCATATATCGTGCATGAGCGCCACATTTCAACGATATCTCACTCCGCTTTAAAAGGGAAGGTAATACTAACTATTAAAGGGGATGTAGTAAACATAAATAAATGATAGGTGAAATGTTATGCCCTACCTTAATACATAACTAAGATTTCTAAGATTACACAATTGACTAACTGATTCTATTATCAATACATCAACATCAGGTAATGCCTGATCTATCAAATGGATTAAAGATAATACTTGATTCTAATATTGCAAAATAAATCATTCCATGTATGAATTGCATAGTGCATCATTTTGCAGATATTATATGATGCATTCATTGACTCATGGTTAACAAGGTACGGGTATAACTCCTTTTAGTATTTCGCAATACACATTTCCAAAATGCTGTACCTTCAGCGATTCCTTCAATATGGATAGAGGTTTGTTATGTTGAAACTTAAAATAATATCTAAACAAATCTGTTTAGTGTATAAGAACAATAAAAGTAAATATGTTTAATATCAATTATTATTAGACATATGAATATAACCTAAAATAAGAAATCTTGTTCTCGTATTCCATTTTAAAATTGGTTGAATGATTTTGGCACAGTAGAAATGATGACAGTCATAATTTATAACTCATACCTAAGTAACTTAATACTATACGTAATACGCCCTGATGCTGTAACATAAATGGTCCTTTATAATCAGGTATGACTGAAATTGGACAAGATCTTATAAGGTTACAGTTTCCATATAACGTATGTTCCATATTACTACCCCGAATGTCCATACCAGTAGTTGAGTTTATGAGTCATAATCCCTCATAGTTTATGATGGCAAATGCCTATCCTTGTCTAGAATATGCCTTTTATCAATTTTATGAAATGATTGTTACATAAACAAGTATACAATTACATGCCCCCCCCTCCCACACTAAAACTCCATTTTCTTTATCAATCTTTCTACTTCTGTTAATATTCTCTGTCCGGATTCCCCAATTCTACATACTGTCAAGTAAACATCTAAATAGGATAGTTCTAGCTATTGCTGTTGTTTTGAAATGTTGACTTTTCTTGAGGAAAAATTGTTTCAATTCTGACAGAAGTTTTTAGCCAATATCATTCAATTTATCAATATCCAAAAGCAGAGTTTCGAAATGCACTTTGTTTGTGCCTGTATTTTCACATTTTTTTTACGAGAATCAGAATCTTATTCTACAAAACGGGTGTTCATGGAAGTAGCACTAATTATTACATCATTGCTATTAATCGTGTGATTTGATTGGCTAATTCAGTACCATGGGACTAAAAATACCATAGCGTATTTCACAGCTGCCTGAATTATTGGCATATAAAATATGTATCCCTTATTGCCCTGCGTATTGCCCGCCTGGGGATTCTGACAACTGCACCTTCAATGATTTTTGCAATATGTATTGCCCACAGCCCGTAGGTATTGCCCTCCATAGAATGAAATATTTGCTTAATATTTATTACTGTTTCGGGCTAAATATCAATTTTGTTATAAACTGAGCAAAACGCCACCTTTAACATGCAGCTAATTCTCCCATCTAACCAACAGAGCCTCTTTTAACATATCAAAATTTAAAAATAACCCAGATGCGAGTAGAAATAATCTTGATTTAAAATTAAAAATGCAAAATTCAGTCAAAGTAATATCATATTTGAAATCTACATGTAAAATTACATTTAGAAATGTGGTTTTAAAAAGTGTTTATCAACTTTGAAAAATTAATTTTCTTTGAAAATGTGACTTCTAGCTCGGGGAGATTCCCCATAGACCCCATGCTATAAAATCACAAAAAATGAAATATCTTTTCTTTAAGTGGACAGATAATATTTTGCTTTCCTGGACATATTTTCATGAGTATAAGTATCAGACACGTAAGGGTTATATGAAAATTGAGCCACTTAAATTGATAATATTCAAGTTTAAGGGAACTTTCTTATATACCTGCCATGTTAATTGACCCGAATCAGCCACCTGGTGGTGAAACTGGTAACTGCCTACTCGCATTTGGGTAATTGCCACTGATTCAATTTATTCAATCAAATCTAAAATGGTAATACCTTTTTACTGCTTCGAACTTCCTTATATTTTATACCATAGGAGTAGGATGTTTGTCTCTTTCAATTGATGCTTTCACCAGAAACATGGATATCACTAATTTTGATTCATATTTAAAATGGTATGCATGAATAGACCTGTGTATTTTATACCAAATAGAGACACTTCCCTGGAGAGTTCTAAATCTCTCTATGTAAACAGCCTAGTTTCCCACATCCCTTGTTGACTTTGCTCCCATATTTCCTGTGAAGCTGTGGAACAGTTCTCTTGTTCTTCACAATATTCCATTTTACTGTAAATCAATGAATAAGGCCAATTCATATCACTGGCTTCCCTAGGTCATTTAAATGCCTTGCAATTTTTAATCAGCAATAAAGAATAATGGGTTAAATTATCAAATAATGAAGTTGCAAATGATGAGATTTGCTATATAGCTTTAAAATCTTGCTGAAGTATAGTTTAACTATAGGTTAACAGGCTAATTTCTCATTGACATAATTTTAAAGAATCTTAAACATTGACTTATTGTTTCAGTGGTCCTTTTAAAGCTCGTATATACACAATCTGAACAACATCCAGTCTCAAACACAATCTGATTATCATTAAGTTTCAAACACAATCTGAACATCATCAAATTCATTGCAAATGCAGGTTTACTTTAATCCAACAGAATGAATATGGTAAATCAATAGACTAAGTGAAATATGTCAAGTCAATGGTAAACACTAGTATCTAGCCCAACTAGCACAAGTGCTGCCATCTACCTACTAGTATCAATCCATCTACATAGCACCTAATGAGGTCACTTCTTCAAGTAAAGCTTTTTCCCCTGTCTATGGTAAAAAATAAATGAAACAGAAAAGTTAGTTTGACACCATTGGTGATGCCCACCTTCTATGGTATAGGGATAAAAGGAAGGTTCATGATAACACTTACATAAAATATCTTAAGTATCTAATAATGATAATGAACATATTACAATGTTACACAATGTTAGTAGATGATAATTAAATGTCAATTGTTGTTAGTGTAATATGTATTTTTCGCTTAATGCTGCAACAATTACGCAAGTACCAAAAAGTGCCACGCCCACTTTTCCCTAAAAGTAGTTGTGTGTGACTATATTTGATAAATATTATTGATTTATTGGAGCATTATATCAACTTTTTAGTGCTTTAGTGTGACTATATACATATTTATACAACTTTTGACAAAGTGGTAGCCACAAATTCCTAACAAATTTGCAAATATTTCACTTTGAGAGCGAAGGGACATATTTGGGAGGAGGTCAAATTGAGAAGATTTTGAGATATAAATACTGTTTCCATGGTAACCATATAAGTTAGAGATTGGAAATTTCTGGCACTGACTAACCATGGTATGCCCTGCCTACTAAAAAACTATGAATGTATGACATGCATTAGTATTCTTTTTATTAGGTGGTATTAAAGTACCCCCAAGGTTTTCTTGGGGTAGGGGTATAAATTGGCCTGAGGGACGTCTGCCACCCCTACATGAAGTCCAACTACCCAGAAAGTGCCCAGCATAATCATACAGACTGTTTGAAATATGTTGGAATGTGTGACCTTCCATGAAAAGCAGAAGTTACAATTATCAGAGTAGTCCACAGTCTATGAGATTCTGTTCATAGTTTTTCATATAGTCTAGTACATAGAAAATTATCATTGGGATATGTTATTTGTCATCTTTCGTTCCAAGAAACGTTAGTAAAACGAGGATTTCAAATTGTAGTCATTTGAGAAAACAATTCAAGACACGCATGTTATTGATCAGAGATAAATAGATTGACACATACATACAATAACTATAAATGATATAAATAAATTGACACATACATACAATAAATTGACACATACATACAATAAATATAAATAAATTGACACATACATACAATAAATATAAATAAATGACACATACATACAATAAATATAATTGCCATGAATCATTTATGTCTCATGTCTCCATAAAAAATTCTATTGAACTTAGGTTTTATAGGACTACTGTATATGTTAAATGAAAAAGCATTGCGATTTTTCCCTTGTAATCTTAGGAATTGAATATATAATATGCAGAAAAAATTGAGAAATGATCTACTTTCTCTTGTCCCAGGGACATGTTCCCCCATGAATTTCTTTTGAAGACATTATTTGGTGCAATCTGAGCGTTTATAAAGACTATATATGGTTTCTTTCTAATAAAAACAGCAATTTTTCGTAGTTTTACAGGAACATCACCAAAAATATTTTCTGGGCAGACGCCCATGGCCAATTTGATTACTTATAACACTTTTTAATTTGCAGGAGAAGACAAAAGACGTGCCAGTGTTAATGTCAAGTGCCTATGGGCAAAGATTGGCATTTGATCTGGACCCACCCACAAGGGAACATGTAAGAATTGGACATGTACAGTCGGAATTCTTCCGCAGAAATGACATTAACATCAGAAAGAACAAGCCGTAACCTGGCAACAGATTTGGATATACTGCATTTTAGTGTTATGTACTTATGATTCAAGGGTGTAATGTTGTGACTACAGTATTTAAATTTGAGTGATTTGAGCTTGGAATTAAAATTAGGCAAAACATTAAAACTGGACGTCATATTATGTACAAGATGTTCAACTGTTTGTTGATAGTTTATTCCAAATATTCAATGTATTAGTGCCAAATATGGGCATCAATGTGGTCATTTGTGCCTTATTTGGGCATAAATGTGATCATTTGAGCCTAATATGGCCATTACGTAGTTCATACAAATATAATGTATATATAGTGTAAATAAACGCAATATCTTTTTACAGTAAAACAAGTCATCATCTTATTTTGTTTTCTTTAAACAGCCAGTAGTTCTCTAATTCCTCCAATAAGTTGGTTGAAAAAAACGAGAAGTGATAGACGATGATCGCTGAAGTACTTGCTCGTGGTAGGAATCGGGGGATTAGGAATCTGGCGGGTTTACGGAAAAGACCGACCACCGACCGTCTGTCGGTCCTTTGGATGAATAGATGCCAAATTAGAAGAGGAAAACTAAAACTAGGAATCCAATAACTACCTTTACAAGACCGTGATTAAAATTTGTCTAATCATTTTAAATCATGATGAAAAACATAACGTTGTTGTGGTCTGTAATGTCATATTTTTTAATGATGTCTCAGCTGTTAGAAGACCAATTTCATTCTGGTAAGTTACTTTGGATTATGATGAGAAAACGCACGTCATCTTTTTAAAGATTAATGCGTCAATCTGGTAAAACCTACATTCAATCTGACAAAAATAGTTTTCCAATAATATGCTTTAATGGTAAGTCACTTTTATCATGACAAGAGAGCACGTAACATAACATCGTGTTCAGTAATTAGTATGACATTATTTTTATTAGAAATACATATTCATTAAATATAAACCTACGACGTAGGTCTATAATTTCATTAAAAAATTACTTAGGATAAATTACCGTAATGGGTAAACGTTTCCTTCGATTGACATGACTAAAAATCGAATTATATAAATGATTTAAGGCAACGGTCGGTCTTTTACACATTTCCCCAAACACTGTTTTGAGGCTACTTGTGGAAAACAGCGACCGGTCGGTGGTCGGTGGGGTCGGTCATTTTCGTAAACCCGGAACTCTTGGACTCTTGTGACTAAGCATCACTGCGTCCTCCGTGGGAATAACGTCTAGCCTTAATATATTAAAAACCAGACCCATTTTTATGTTAGACATGTTGGATTTTCGCTTTCGTGGTCAGACCTAACAGCCCAGTCTGAACACGCCTTGTTGGAACCCTTGACATTTCTGATGCAGAGACGAAACAAATGGAAAAATGTGATCGAGAAAAACAAGTTGTTGCAAGAAAAAGAAAAGGACGATCCTAATATGGATGAGAGAGACCGTAAAAAATAACAAGATCGGAATGCGCATGACTTGTTTCTGGATTGGATTGAGGGCACGAATCGCAATTCAGCGGCTGGGGGAAAATGAAGTCGTACGATTTCTTGAGCATCTAGACTTGGTGACATTTTGTCATGTTAATTCATGTTGTCAGTATTAAGCGTATCTCATTGCATTAGCATGATCTGATTTAGTAAGTCATTCTAACCATTTTTAATTTAAGAAGTATAATTTGTTGTGATATTATAATTTTTACTATAGCAACTTAGTACTAACTGTTAGGTAACGAATTTACATGCACGCAAAATGAGTCCCCGATAAACAATCAACATAACTTGATATTTTAAAAACATTATTTTGATTTTATATTTGATGACTAAAATAAAGCTTGTATTTATCTCGACCAGACTGTATCAAACTTGAGAATTCCACCCATCTCAAAGCCAGTGATAGCCATAGGAATTAGTCCAGCCTCTCCCATATCTTGAGCCATGTTAGACATTTTGAATTCGGAAAGGTCGTGTTGGGGGATCGCAGCACCGGGGCGTCGCTGGAGAACGGCGCTGAATCTCAATGACTGCTGTTCGGGAACGCCTGGCAGTTTGTAGCCCTTAAGATAGATTGGTGCGAATCCATCGCGGACCATTTTGGCGTAGACGGGTGGTGGTAAGTCTGCCTTAGCTTGATCTTGACCGGGACTGCCCCTTACGGCGAGTGCTGCGGCATAGATACGACCATTCATTGCGTAAGCTGGCTGGTTTATGACCTTCATACCTGTAAATCATATAACAACGAGAATGATATGTTTTGATTATACGCTGGAGTTCTTTTCTTCATCCAAGACTACACGTAGCATTACATTATATGGCCAAAACGTATTTTCATTTCTGGAGAGATATTTCTGATGGAAAACTTCCAAAACTATTGGCTGGTAACCTTAAAAATCGAATAGCATTGGATAAAGTCAGAACTGTTTGACTATTAAGAAAACAGACACTACATAACATGATATGAGATATTGTCAAAATGTCTAGAAAGTTAAGTCTCAGTCACATTTACTCTACGGCGGGCGTATGGCAGGCGTAGCTTCATGAAATCGATATAGAAAATCTACATCGTACTGCTTATCTCTCTATTTTGTAGAAAAATTATACTGCATATTTCTCTAAATTTTAGCAAGCTACGGCCGCAGTACGATTACCGTAGATCAAATGTGACTACAGGCATTGTGTTAAAACAAGCATTTTCTCGTGACAAAGTTCCTTTACCTCTCCATACTAGCTGTTGAAGTCTCTGTTGATGCTGCTGCACTGGCACCGGTGGAAGGGCCTGCCATGGGCCATTTGATGGTCCCATGATGACGGCGTGGTAGGGCTGGTTATTTCTCACGTACAGGTCAAAGTACAATGGTTGTTGACGCTGCCATTGGGCACTCTACATGTAAAAACAACAATATAGACTAAATCCAGGTTACTATGAATGTGCCAAAGTGAAATGACCAAAAGTTGTAATGGAACTTAGCAAGAAAAAGCAAACTCTAAGTGCATACCAGTCAAGAAAAACAAACCCGATATAGCCCAAAACCATGATCTAACGTGAAAAGAAACAATGTCTAATACCCCCTTTCCCCTCACCATTCAAGAACCATTATCACAATCCAAGACCAGAAGACCAAGGGACATTTCATTCATACTGAAGTCATTACTCATTCCTTTTATAACGATTTAAGTTTGATTCTAGTATACTAAAACATTGTGCTCTCATCAATTGGTTTGCCTCCTTAATTTATGATTAAAATGAAAACATCTACGAACTGGTAATTTGACGAAATGCCGCCATTTGAGACCATCACTGAAGACGGTTTCCTCAAGAAAGACAGAGAACGTAACGTGAACGTAAAACTGTAAAACTAATGGTTCCCTGGGAACCATTTTTTGTCAATAGCGGGCTGTATTTGCCTGATTGGGTATAACAGTTAAAGGTTAAAGGGGCAATAAAGACTGTAGAGAAAATAGCAACATTTTTTCATTTTTTCTGAGCTATCAAGGCAACATTTGGTTTAACATCTTCTTTGACATACCTATTTTCTTAAAATGTATGGATAAATTATCAATTTCAGCATTAAGAAGTGTAAATTCAGTTCAAAGCTTCAAAAAGGGGACTTCCACTTTTATATTTTTAAGATCTACCATGTTTCAAGAGGAATATCAGCTAAAATAATTCTATGTAAGTTCATCTCTCTGGTTAATATATCAGAAACAAGTCAAATTCTTTACTTCAGAGAATATTTTTAATTTATTGAGACTTTCGACTAATATCCCTTAGTCTTTTTCAAAATATAACAGCATGTATACATTTATGTGACGTCATAAACAGACAATGGAAAATTTAATTATGTAACAAATGACCTAGTAACCTAAAAAATAACAACAACAAAAAACATAGATACGAAAAAACGAATGACCTAATAATAACCTTAAGATAAATATATCATCGTTATGGTAACAATTAAACTCAAATATTACTATTGCATACTTTGCTATACCATTCTTAATTTACAATATTTTATGATACAAATTGTCCAACTGATACCCATTATCTCTGTTCATTTTAGGTTGCATTGTTTTAATATGAATTGCTTCCTTAACCCTAACCTAACCTCTGTCACATAAATGTATACATGCTGTTATATTTTGAAAAAGACTAAGGGATATTAGTCGAAAGTCTCAATAAATTAAAAATATTCTCTGAAGTAAAGAATTTGACTTGTTTCAGCTAAAATAATGTTTATCTAGGGGGTTTCTTTGTAGATAATAAAAATAGATGTTAGTCTTGATGAAATATCCAAACTTAAATATATTTTGACACTGGTCCATGATCGTTGAATGACCCCTCTGCACTAATTATTGCACCTTTAACAAAATGTAACAAGGTCCCCTTGAAATGCAATTGGGCGGAGGACAATACGTCCTGGGATCATTTTCACGTTTTTTCACATTCCTGGGATCATAATAGGGAGTTAAAGCTTGCAATGTTTTTCACAACCTAAACGAAAACGGAAAATAATTAAGCGATGTATTTGTATGGGCGATTGGTCATACACTGTACGTGTAGGTTGGCGTTTCGATTTTATATGCAAGCTTAAACTCCCCGATATTTCACGTTCACGTTAGTCTCATATACGAATTGTGAAACTTTGGCTATTTGATGATCTGTATTACCCTGAGTAACTGGGTGAATCCCTGCACACTCAAACCAGTCCTGATGGACCAACTGCCCCCTCCCTTCACCCAGATGGTATTGAAGTACACACTTTGTCCTCTCATCGTGGCAGAGAGAACAGTAGGACGATAACCCGCACCTCTCATCTGATTTGACACACCTTTCGAATAAAATTTCATTATAATTTGGAAATATAACATTATGGGGTAAAAACTGTAGTGCAGCATCAATTTATCTAATGTAGATGTATACATTCGAAAAAACATTCACGTTACTTTAGAATGTTTGCTCTGATATTTTGCAGTAGTACAGCAGTAGCGTTATAATTGAACTGCAATGAACGAAAAGGCTAACATACACCCTCAAAATGTTTCCTCTTTTGGACCAAGTGTCAGGCATTTTCACGTTTATGATAACAAATTCAGAAAATTCGACCAATGGTTATTTAACAAAATAAAGATTGAAACATTAACAGGCATTATAACACGCTCTCAAATCAGGACTTATGGTTTCCATACTTATGGAGGCGGTGTAACTGTAGATTATTTATATCTGTCATACAAACCCTGGATTTGAGACTCGGGAATCATGGCACGGAGAAGATGTCTACCACCTTGAGAGGATGCAGTTGCCAGACCGTTCAGAGTAAGTTTGTTGTATGCTGGTGCCCACTGAGGAACACGTCTTACTGCAAACCTGTTATATTAACATACAGAATGTGACGTTTTTAATAAAGAATGATAGTACCAACCAAAAGTTCTAAAAAGTAGGCCCAATGTCCTGTTTAAGAACACCTATTCTTACTATTGAAAATGGATTCTAGCAATACTATCCTATGTGAATCTGCTTGTTTAGACCCGATCAACTTGAGTTCTTCAGAGAAAATGAGGATTTCAGCAAGGGTGCACTGAGATAACATGGTGACATACTCCATTGACCAATGACTTAGCATAGTGATGCCATCAAGTATATCACCATGTTATGTCAATGCACCTTCGCTGAATTCCTCATTTTTTCAGAAGAACTAAAGTTGATCGAGTCCCAATGCAACAAGTACTTTCATGTGGGATAGTATTGCTAGAATCCACTTTCAATAGTAAGAATAGTGGTTCTTGAACAAGACACAAAGCTAACCAAGGCCCTTTTGAAATTTTTGGTCAGTACTATGATCCAAAATATAAAAATGCATTTTCAAGATCGGGCTTCGCTATATAAGCTTAGGAAAAAATTGAAATACTCTTGGATGAAGGATGCTTTTTAAATGGAAACAAACAATAAACAAGGCATTAGAATGCAAAATGTCACCACCTGCCGTTGGTTACATACGCCGCACGCAGATCACCGAACTCCAACCGCCGAATACAATCAAGCCGGTGAACACCGTCCAAAAAAAGTTGGAGACTCATATATCACCAGTTCTTGTGGTGACATGACAAATATAGGATACTGAACAATGTATAGGACTATAATTTTGTCTCTGCGAAATGTGTTACCTCGATTCAGAAATTTTCATTTTAGTTAAGATCCCAATGTATAATAGTAGCAAACTTCCTCGTAATATTGCTCCTGAATTTAAAGTGGAACAAAATTTCACCAATACACCTCGGGTTAACAAGAGGTGAAATAGACAGGGTAGGGGAAGGGCTCAAAGGATGGGGGTCCATAGAATTGATGCAAGAGTACAGCTAGTCTCGCCCGAGGCCTTTTGACCAACTTGACATATCACCTCGACAAAGTATATGAGTGGGGCGTCCACATAAGGAGATCCATCTACATGTAGGTAGGAAGGGGTAAGAAGCGTGGGTCTTTACCTGACCATACTGTTAATGTCCTGATCCCTTGGTGACTGGTTACACATGATTGCCCAGTTTACACCGGTCTTGTCATGTGTTAAATGAGCAATGGTACCATCTATTGCACCATCGTGGCCATATGATTTACCGCCATGTTCCATTTTAAGTCCAAGACCGTACCACCTTTAACCATAGAGCAGAGATTTATATTTAATTTTCAGTTTTATACAAGGCCGGCCAATAATGTAACAAATCCGAAGTCTTCCCAGTTCTTGTGAACGACAATTACGTATGCAAATAAAGAGCATAGAATAATGTGAATTGTGAAATTGCGTTTTGAATTTTAAGGGTGGTTGGAAAGTTAGAGACGCCATGGAATGTAGGTTACAATCGTTTTCAATAAAATTCGTAGAAAATATACTTTTCTTAACACAATTATGGTATGATCAGAAAAACTGTGTATTTAATTAAAAGGCATCTTGTTTTAATTGATCCGTTTATGACATTTAGGAAGAATCATGACCACCCCTTTCAATAGTTTTAATTTGGTTCTTCAAAAGAGAGTTTCATCTACATGTATTGTATTAGGATCTGACACATAATGTATACGGTATATCATAACATACGCATCATCGCCTTTCATATGGCTAGGTTTCTGAATCATGAGGCTAACGGTAGATGGCTTGAGCAACTGGACTGGGCCACTTCCATCAATTGCATTGAGAATAGCCAATACATCTGCAATATAGAAGGTAAGTATAGAAAATATGGATGGTATGCGTGTATATGTGTATTTTATGATAGAATATGGACTTAAAGCCTCACTATGCGTATTTTTAACCTTTTTGCTAAAACAGAGACTTACTTTCGAACTCCATAGTATTCCAATGGATTGACAAGTACTTTATCTTTCATTAGACATCAAAAATAGCTCAAACGGGCCACATCAGATCTTACAATATATTATTAAAATATTTTTGATCTGTCTAGTTTTTATATAGCAAGTTTTCACCAATGTCAGTGAAAGATGGCGAAGTTATTTGAAGTACACGATTCATTCATTTTTATAGAAGTGTCGCCATCTTTTAAATCAAGAGTTATTTAAAAACATGCACGTTGTCAAAAATGTGCATGCACTACTAAAGATCTCTGAACTTCAAATTCTGTTTTCTACGTGAGTTATTTTTTCTCAGTTCAATATTAATGCAAACCAAGCTTTGTATCATATTTAAGTGAGTGTGTAAATAACATGTTTCAATGATTATTTTATCTTAACTCTTTCTAAACTAAGCATAGTGGGCCTTTAAATAACAAAAAGAAAAAGAATGAAGAGCAGAACTCAAAATAAAAGCCGAGAACTAAAAATGAAACTTGAGAATTGTATCTTGTATGTTTCCCTGCAAATGGGAAGTGTCAAATGGGATATATAATGAATTGGTAGGTCTGTTAATCCGTAGATTTAAGCAGCGATCTACAAAGGCCCTTTTGGCGAAGCAAAAACTGCATCGTGAGATATCACAGCCTTCTCCTCAGTGTCCTTCTAGACGCGAACGTAAAATGTTTAAGCGATGCATTTGTATGGGCGATTGGTCATACGTGCATAGCAGAGATGGTCTGAGTATCAGAATGCAAAAACTGGTGTATATTGGCTAGATTATTTTATGATGTCATACTTAGCAGGGACAAAGTTCAGAAGTTACAAAACGGTTTTGTACAGTAGCAATAGAATAATCCCATTTCTGTCTCCTGAATCCGTAAGGATGACAAAGATGGGATGATTGAATTGACTGGTGTATTGTCACGACTTTATTCAGATGTAGTTAAACATACCAGCAGATGTCGCCACCCAACCACCAAGAGGAGCTGCAGTGGGTATGGGGTACCACCCATATGGCTTAAATACCATACCATCCTCCTTGTAAACAGATGGTGTCTTAGGGCTACCTGGGAATGGGAAGTATTTAACCTGAAATAATGTAATATTTATTCATTTATATTTCACAATCAATTTACATACGTAATTATCCGTAGTTATCTGAGGAAAATGTATTGGGACAGAGAAAATTTTGCAGCGATAGGCTACAATATCTAAAGGTCTGAAACCCTAGAACCATATTATGTTATTATACCCAAGATGAATCAATTGTTTGGATATGCCATATCTTTGACTATATCAATATCTAATCTTAAGAAAGAAAAGTTCTGTTTTGTAATGTTTTTATACGCATTTAAAAATTGTTAATCATTTATATTTTACCTCATTTGGCAGGCGTTCAGATTTCCTAGTTCGACCTACTACCATGGAAGAAGCCCTGGCCATGTTTGCAAGACTTTTTACGTAACTCTCATATGACTGTCCAGAAACTTTAGTGATTACCTCTCCCAGAATCAGGTAACCGAAGTTATTGTATGAGTAAGCAGTTCCTAAACAAGCATACATAATATATAATAAGACATTTTCCCAGGGAAGATTTTGTGAATATGCAATCTGAAGCAGGGGTATGGTTTATTCAGCGTACACAGTACATACAATGGGGAGTTTAAGCTTGCAATGTTTTTACACAACGTAACCGTGAACGGAAAGTACATGAATCAATATACAGGGTGTCCAAAAAAAACAGGACCGTAAGAAAGTTGAATAACTCGGTCAATTTTGCATATTTTGCCTTGAAATTTCAGAATTATTTAGTTCATTCAATGTGAATTTTGTTGTGAAAGTTTGGTAATAATCTACCAATTGAGTCAAAAACTACAGCTCCTTACAAAACATGCCCCAAATGTGCAAATCTCATCTCTATGCACGATTCAATCCGGCGAACAAAGCTGTTGATGATCCTCCTACACACATGTCTATCTGAATGGACAAGTTTGTTCCAAGAACAATTGCTACTGGAGCTTACATCCTCCTGATGAAGTGTTACAGCACCCATTGCATTTTGAACAATGCACTCCCTGAATGGCAATGAGGGAAACATGGAATCATCAGTCCCTTTTGGTTCAAAGGTGACTGGGGACTTGCTATCACCATGAACAAGGACCAGTAAGTTCTCACCAAGTTTTGGAGGTCAGTAAGCACCAGAAGGGACATCTAAGGAGATAATTAAGCAGTGGTTTCAACAAGCCAATACCACCCCAACACTGCAAATGATATGCTGAAATGGTTTAGGCAATGCTTTTGTGGTCAGCTCATCAGTTGCAGAACGCAAACCAAATGGGCAGCTCATTCGCCTGATCTAAATCCCCCAAATTTTTATCTTTGAGGATTTCTCAAAGCCAGTGTGTATACTGACAGGCCCCTAACAATCTTTAGAGGGCAATAACTACCCCAATATTTACCATCCACATTAATGTGTATAGGTAAGGGTCATTAACAACTTTGTTCGCAGGATTCGTTTGTGCATAGAGAGGAAAAGTGCCCACTTTGAGCATGTTTTGTAAAGGACTGTAGTTTCTGACACAATAAACAGATTATCATCAAACTTTCAGAACGAAATTCACATTGTATGAACTAAATAATTCTTAAATTTCAAAATATGCAAAATTGACCGAGTTATTCAACTTTCTTACGGTCCTGTTTTTTTTTTGGACACCCTGTAGTAATGTAAGATATAGCGGACACACAAAACAAGCTCTAATTAGTCTAATTTAGATACCCGTTCAGCTTCAGAGTTTCGTGTTTAGAACGTAAAAATGCAAATTTTACGTTGGTGTGACTGTCAAAGGGAATCATTATACTCGTGTCTCTTGCCATACTAGGCTGATAATTTTGATTTCGATTTAAAGAAAATTCGTTCTGAAAAAGATGATGTATGTCATGTATGTTTTAGCTCCGACTATCTTACCAAACGAGCTTGATAAGAATATGTATCAGAAAACCAGCTATAGAGCTACCAATGACGTATTACATGCTGTATATTACATACTGCGGTGTAGTCAAAACCTGTCTATGTACGGCTATTTGTGTGAGGAAGCGCTACATGTATTTGTACGTATTTATACGATTTATACGTATACGTTGCCGTTTCGATTTCATATACTAGCTTAAACCCTCCACTGTATCAACTTAGCTGAAATAATTACCTGGTGTTGTCTTAAGTCTGTCCCTCGAATTCAAGTAATGTTGGATCACCATTCGACTGGGAGGGGGCGACTGAACACGGTTAGCTCGAGCAATATCCCAGAAGATTTGAGGGTTGTTTAAAGGATCCTAAAATGTTACAGGGCATATGAATTTATATACTCATGTACGTTCCAAATGATTGTTAGATGACGCTCTCTGATGGGATGACAAATGGATTGCGGCAACAAAAATACTACTCCACGTTTGTATTTCACAAAATCGCTGCTTGTTAAGTTGTTACAAATTTTCATCGTTTGATAGAGGGCTCTTATACCTGGTACATATTATAGGTCATATTTTGTGCAGAAAACATTTTGAAAGTTATCCGGAAATCCCGTGCCATTCCCTGCTCTTGGCGATAGGAGTGTTGAATGATAACTAGATTGGACGTTTAATTGTTTGGTCTTTTACTCAGACTAAAGAGATGCCAAGTAAAATATCATTACCGAATTCGCCTGTGTGAAAAACAGGTTACTCATTTTGCTCAAAATGGAATGCGGATGGGGTTTAAGATGTGTAAACTTTATCCAAAACAAACTATATTTAGACACAACCACCCCACTAAACCCAAAGCACAAGACATGTCCACATTTCGAGGAAATCTCCAACATACCGTCATCCCTATGAGCTCCCAGCCTGAGGTATGCGCTAAAAGATGACGCACGGTAATGTCAGCTATACGTCTATCAGCCTGACGTCCAATCGTTATTCCCTTGAGAATACCTGTCAACAAAAAGAGAAAAGGGGGTATTAGTCATTGTTTCCTTTTACGTTAGATCGTTTTGGGATAGATGGGGTTTGTTTTTCTTTTTTCGCTTTTTCTTGCAAGGTTCCTTTACAACTTTTGGTCCTTTCCCTTTGGGACTTTGTTCATCTTCATATTTCTCACTCCATTCAGCAAAGTAGCGACACGAGTTTTTAGATTTAAAGGTTTTTATTATCAAAATAATCAAAACATGTTTACATTCCAAACTAGGGCCGAGGCAATACAAAGGAACACGAGTGAACAAATTTAGTCAATTTTTTACCTATCTGCTTGATTTTGTCAAAATCTACAATTAGAACCTACATGGGCCAAAGGGGCAAGGGAAGGCAATTTCGATTGCCAAACATTTGGAGGGGAGTGTACGTACCTGAAGGCCCGAATACTCTGGCGTCCAGCTTCAGCTTCCCCTGTTCGTAGAGTTTCATTGTCGCAATGGCTGTGACAGACTTACTAATGCTACCAATACGTAAGATTGACTTAGTTGTCACGGGTGACCTGGCACTATCAGCAGTTCCATAACCTAGGTACGAAAGTTATCACCGTGATAATACAATGTTTTACAGTCGTGCTTCAGGCCCTTGTTTTAACCCTCAACTACAATTACTGCTCAGCAATTTCCAAAAGGATGTTGAATTGATTCACTTGATACTAGACCGAAGGATTTATGAGTACATTATAGTTATGATAGTATGCTTTCCCTTGTAGCATTTAAGTCACGTATAATTTCATCATCGTGATCTCCCAAGGTGATTAACATAATTTCATTCCATAAAACATGTTTTCCCCGGGAAAATAACAGGGAAGATTGATATTCAAAAAATCCCGTATCAGATCCCGTATCAGCCAAAATCCCGTATCAGAACTATCAGAATTTTTTATGAGACTTAATGTTGTGTTATTATGGTAAATTATGATCCATATTAGTATTGTTAATTATTTCTAATTTAAAATTTGTTAATAAAAGTTGAAAATGTCATTCGATAAATTAGATTGTATCATTTAATGCCACCATCATTGGGTGACGACATACAAAACAAGTTTCAGAAATTTAAAGTAAATTGATAGTCGTAATGGAATATGGATTTTTCCTCGAGAAAATATGATATTAGCCTCGGAAAATATCATATTTACGCTCGGGCTATCGCCCTCGGTCAATATTATCGTTCCTTGGTCAATACATATATTTCCCTCGAAATTAAATTCATATTCCATCTCTCCCATTAAATAACCTCTGTATATTCACATTTCAGAAAACCATGCAACTCCTGCCGCTATAGACTCTGTCAAAAAGGCCTTAACATGCTATAACAACATGTCAACTATTGGTGTGACATAAAAAAGAGAGGATTCTCAGTTCTTATGGTTTCGACCTACCTTTGTTTAAAACCACCTTTCCTGCTTTTCCAATTGCAAGACTACATCCTGGTATGTTATTCTGCCTCATCCAGTTTTGAACGACGCCATCCACTGTACCAGCGGAATAAGCCTCCCCGATGTCAACCTTTGGGAGGCATTGGATCAACCCTATTAGGGCTAATAGGAAAACACCCCTTATCTACAAATAAAAAATCAAATGTTTGCTTTTCATTTGAAACAATGAGCAATGGTTTTATATATCGTATCATTTATGTAATTTCTCAATTTTAGTTTTATTACAGGATACTTGGTCCTGGTACGCTATATCTACAGAAACTGAAAGTGGTTGTTTGAGGGAAAAAATACGTGATTAATTGATACTTAATTGCAGCTACTTCTTGCAACTGACACTGAAGTGTGACTCATACAAGGAGTCTTTAGTGAAATTTACCCTATATATAACATAATATATGAATTTGTCAAAATGTCCTTAGAATTGTATAAGCTTCAAAATGATCGAGCCACAGATTGTAACATTTTGAGAGAATAGCCTGAGATATGACACGAATGGCTGTCTGGTACTATACCAGTGGGGGGGGGGGGCGTAACCCCAGGGTTCTAAGAAGACGTATGTTTAACATGCAAATCTGTATTGAGAAGACATGTCGTCCTGATTGGTCAAATTGACAGACAAACAATCAAACCGGAATAGCCTGACAACGGTGAAGTCAGATACCGTGGTCATAAATGGCGGACATAACCGTCGCTTCAATTCTTCTTGGTCCTCGTTTCCATGGAACTTTATCATCGCTAATTCTGTGCATATGTTAAGCTCTTGTGATAATGTAACATATGAAATCCCAATTTCGAAACACGCTTCGACGAAGGTGGTACGCAAGATACGTAATTATATCTTCCTTTAAAGTGGTTGACTAAGTGTCAAAACGCAACATATTGATGCAAGAAAAATTAATAAAGCAGGGATGGAAGGGGTCGAAAATTAGGAAAACATTTCAGAAAAAACATTTGGGTGGGTTGTTTGCATCTACCCTGTCTCAAAGTCGAAATTATTTTTTCATCTCTAGAAATGATTTTCCTGGAGGTAATGCATTGGCCTAACATATGCAATTGTTTAAATCCTCAGAAAGTGGCTAAAATCCAACATATGACTGTCCAAAATCTGTTGCACTAATTTCCCTCCTCCTTTGGCATCTAGATTTCATGATTGGAACTTAGTAAGTAATTTAACTCTCTCACTAAAACGTTGACAATTTGTAGTGACACATTTTCAATGAAAGAAAAGTCAAATCAACATTAAATCGAATCTACACATGTACAGAATGTCTAAATATCCAAATGAAATTGCTCAGAAAAATATTAACCATTTCATTGATCATTGGTATTTTTTTCCATAAATGTTACATTAAAAATCTTACCAATGCAGATCTACCTCAAACTTACCATCTTGTACGTCAGATGTAAAGATTACCAATAATTTCCCATTACATATTATATTCAACAAAAACCGAGTTCAATATGTAAGGCTCCATGTTAAGAAAGATAACAATTGATAAATACCTATGTTACGTGTCATTTTTATCTAATATATATCCGTCATCTTTGATCTTATCTTTGTCACATGGGATGGTAGGAATGAGGTTATAAGGGAATGCACATGATCATGAATACCTCATGTTACAGTGTATGTGTGGAATATTTGAGACTGAATATTAAGATTTTCAGCACTCGTCTAGTACAAAATCTTATTAGTATGATGGGGTCTATCTGTGTTTCTATCCGTATCTTATTCAGTAAAATATAACCGTACTTTATAATGGATAAACCATGAGTATTAGTTATTATGTGAAATGATATTATAGATATGGCATATCATTATATTACTATCTAGCTAGCGACAGTATGATTGGTCAAAACCGGGTCACATGTCGTGGGATATCTGGCGATATTCAATGGCAATGCTAATCAGATAAGACAACCGTGAGATATCTAGCGATATCCCACGCTCCCGGGAATTTTCAAAGAATTTGTTTTCGTTCGTAAATAATTTAGTTCAGTGTAAGTCAAAATGGCAGACGAACCGAGTAGATTCAATGTATTTCAATGTTAACCTATGACTTAATAATATTAGGGATGTTTAGCTAGACAGTGATATAATAAAACAAATATTTCACTCTATTTTCGGTGAATACCTGTAGCACTTTCACAAGGTGATATTCCACTTGCCCTTCGGGCTTCGTGGAATATCACTTGTGAAAGATGTACAGGTATTCACCTCAATAGAGTGAAATATTTGTTCAATATCTCTCTCAAAGTGTTTTCGATACGATTTTCTATTCTAAATCTTTAAATCATATACGATATCATAAATACCTTCACTCTTGTCGATAGCTTGACTTTTTTTATAAATCATATACAACGCTTGAAGATAATTTTTTTAAATTTTATTTCATAAACATATATACAAGGCATGGATTATAATTTACAAAAATATGTGAGAGATCAATGTACAATATTTATATATATATGGATGTATATAAATCAAAAATATTTTAGATAATGTATACATATCTTTATATATTTGGATTTTGTAATTTTTCAGTAAACATTTTAGTCTTTCTTTTAACCTAATATTCTGTTGTTCTTTGAAATATTTAAACTTTCAACAAAATTTTTTAAAAAACTTGTTTCTTTGTATTTTTCAAAATTGTTTGAATAGTTTACCCAATTTGAATATATCGTGTATCCTACTTTTGTTATAACTGTATTTCTGAAAAAAGCTACATCTCCCTCCAACAGGTGAAAACCTAATATGTATTACAGTGTGTATGGAATAAAAATACATATGCGTTTTTCAAAGCCATTTATGATATCTAATACAAACGTGTATTGAATGTCGAGTAAAACACGTTTAAAAGTATATACTTATACGATTTCATCATGTAAATGTAGTTATGTAAATATACCAATGTAGATTTTAGAAATCATGAATATTTCTTCATTTTTTCTTAATTTGTGCATCTGAAATCTAAAATATAGGAATTTGCACTTATTTGAATATTTTATCAAATTATAATATTTTTTTCAGATTCATGAAGAGCCTCCAAATTAGGAATATATTATTCTATAGAATTTTGCTAATCCATGTAGTCATTAATTAACAAATAGCTTGAATTCCCAGGGGTGAATAAGTTGATGAATGGCTGACATTTGTATTTGTTTGTGTTGCTGTGTAGTTGTGAAAACTCAAAAGGAACCCGTGAGAATGAATTAAGATAAATGCTTGTTTAGTATATTGCTCAAAATCTGATATAATTTTACTATAAATATTTCATTCATATGAAGAATTTTGTCCACTCTACCTCCAAAAATACAACATTATATAAACAGGATCAAACACTGGACATTTAAAGGGAACACTTAACAATGCAACTAAATCAACGGCCAGGCTAACAAGGAATATCAAACACAAACAAACAAACAAACACAGTTCTATGCTGTTAATAATGTACTAATATTTATTTTATTTTATCTATTCAATTATTCAAAAGACGTAATCATATGCAAAATTAAAATATATACAAAATTCTACCAGTAAGACCCTCATTGGCATATTAGAATAGTACATAAGTAAAGTGTCGGGTCAGAAAAGTGTATCAACAAAAATTATTAAGCTGGACTATTGTATTCATGAGTGTATGTTTAGTACCCCTTATATTTACAATCTATTTACATAAAATGCAATACACCATAAAACATTAATGTCCTCGTATGTGCTAATGTATGCTCTGTTTATATGATTAGCCAAAGCTACAAAAGTACTATTCCATATAACATCTATCAACTGGAAAAATATACAATTATACTCGATTATACTGTATCAAATGTTGCTTCTTATGCCCTCCTGCACTTAACTAGAATACCATACCCTGTTGTTGGTTGTGGATTGTTACACTGTACACTGCTATGTTGTGCATCACTGCATTCACATGCAGCCTTCGCTGTCCGTCGCGCTGTCTCCATGTTTGAGCCATCATCAAAGTATAATCCCGAACTTCCCCCAGCATGTATGGTGCCAGCAGGTAGTTTGAATGCCGCCTCACCCTGGGCATATTGTTGTAGCCCAGCTGTAACAGTATAAACACAGTCTGTTCCTCCAGCCATTACTTTAATGACAGTCTCATCTGTAGCCTGTTGAAATGTTGATGTTATAATGTCCCCACTTCCCTTGTATTCCAGGCAAACAGATCTATCCTCGGTCACATCTTCTCTGCTACCAAATAGCCTATTCAGTGTTTCAGTATGTTCACCTCCATAGCTTGATACAACCACCCTTGATTCATCTGGATATAGTGTTCCACCGTTTGCACCATTACTCCAAACTTCAACTCTGACCTTGATAAACCAGGCCCAGTGATCAGCCGGAGCATCGGGAAACCAAACCAATGGATAGAGCGAGTTTTCTGCAGGACAATCATCAACCAAACGGTTACATGATGTATATTCAATGAGTGAGTTGGCCGGTCTGTAGAATCTGTAATGGGAATTCCCTTGTCCACTATTCATACAGTTGGTATAGGCCAGTGTATATGAATATCGACAGGCAGTTCGGTCACATAGAATACAAGTTGGTTCCTTTTCAACAAGATTGGAGCAAAATGTACAATACGCACTATCTTGGTCATAACATGTTGATTTCCAACTGTCATATAAAGGTCCTGAAGTTGTCAACGGGCTTACTGTGGTATTTAACACCGTATGTTGTGTGGCCCCTGGTTGAGCCTCTGCCCTTCTAGTTGTCACTGAAGGAGCTGCCTGTCCCCCAAGTGTAGTTGAGCCATGGAGTGGTCCGTCAACTGTATCAAACATTAGGTAACCTTGGAAGTGGTTGGCCTCACACATGGTTAATACACAATCCCCATCAGATCCAACACTGTTAAATGACCAATATACGTAGCTTTGTTTGCCTGTAATATGCTGCCATGTCTCTGCCCTGTTCCGTGCAATTATAGTTGGTTCATTAGTAGATGCTTCGGGTATTTGTGTGGTCATCGTATCACTATCATATGCCTTAATATTAACAAAACAGTAGTCTTGATTAACTCTGTCAAAATTGTACCAATATCTTCCTACTATCTTCATGTTCCCAATGAAGAACTCACTCTGAAACTGAGATTGAGCTCGCTTCCTTCTTCTAGAGAGACCTTTTCTTAACGAGCCTTCAATCTCCCATCTTCCCGAAGAAGGATTCAGAGACCAAAGCTTGACATTTGTAGTTTCATTTGCTTCAATTCTTTCTGCACTTATGGCCATTTCAACATCACCTTCGATGTTTAGCTCATTTCCAGCAGGATCTTCAAAGCTCATATGAAACATGCCAAATGTCTGTAGGTTTCCTGTCTGTCCATTGCTGTCCATGAATGACAGATCTCCAGGCATTGTATCTATGCTTTCAATGTCTGTTGGATCAAGGAAAGTAACACTTGCCTGAACTTGTCCATTGTACTTTGTCCCATCCTTATTATAAAATGCTCCTTCAGGAATGATCACCTCAGCAAAGGATGCATTTGAGCTTGTGTTTGCCAGGTCTAATGTATTGATATTAGAAGAAGATATTTCAACAATTGTATTCTTCCTAAGCATAGGGATATCTCTATAGAGAGTTCCTGTAAAATCATTTGGGATGTAAATTGTTTTAGTAGTTTCAATAAAGTTCAATTTTAGAAAGCCCTCCTTTACAGTTATAACGAGCCGGGATACATCTTTTGGCACAAGGAACTTATATTCACCTGTAAAACTTGTATGGGTTACTAATTCATCAAAAAGGTAAATCTCACCAAATCTAAGAGGTACACCTTTGTCTAGTACATCATATACATAGCCACTCAAATATACCTTTGGATCAGATGTCAGAACGTTTCCATCTACCTCAACTTGGTTACATATCTTACAACCACACTCAATAGTTTCTGCAATGTCAATGGTGTAAGAACTACATGTCAATGTCCTCAGTTCTTGTATGATTGGTCCACAGCAATATTCTTCTTTGTCTGTTATTGGCCGTTTAATGCATGGATTCCCAAGGCATTTCTTAACATCAAAGTGGTAGGGTGTTTCACCAGCTTGTGGACAATCTCTTGGAAGTGATTTCAGATGTGATATTGGTGTTGAATTACAGAAACTCTCACCATCATCTATAATAAAAGTTAAGTAGAAAATGTAATGAATTATTTAACCCTTAAATGACGTTTGGACCCCAGAGCTCATCCTTTGCAATAATTATATCAGAAATAATCATTATATCAACATGAAATTCCATCTAATCTTCAATTAATTCAATTCCTTTACAGATAAAACAAACCAGGTGTAAATCACATGATGACTTTTTGTGCTACCTTGAACCCTTATGATAAGGTTTACATATATTTTCCTGCATTCATGATTAATAATGCATACATATTCTGAAAGGTAATTGATTAACCTATGTAAAACTGAAGACAGAATGAAAAAAGCTTCCCTGGTAATAAAGTTATTGCGAATTATATCCCAAAAAACCTTTAGAGGGTATAAAAAACAAAAAACTTTAAGGGGTAAAGGACATACAAAAGTTAATTTGAGACAAGTCCCCAAAATTGTAAAAATCATTGCTTGCCATTTGATTGTCTTTTTTCTAAATCGTCACATGGATTAAAATATAGATCTCTTTTTGATCCTTATAAAATTAATCTTAAATCTTTAATATTTAATAAATATCTAAATTTTTAAATCGGATCATACAGCTAGGATTGCAAGGCTAGGATTGACATTTAGAAATATTGCTGTCAACATTTTACATACAAATATGGCAAAGCCTCTGATATTGTAATGAATAATATTTGGAAAAAAGGTTCATAGATTTGCTTTTTTGTTGTTCCATTCCTAAAACTAGTAATAATCAAAACGAGATGAATTGCTGGTCCTTACCCCTAACAAGGAGTGTAGCAGGATTGGAATAGGCAGCACTATAGTCAGACTGTGCGAGACACATGTAGGAAGCACTGTCACTGGTTGTCACCGATTGTATGCTCAGAGTGTTCGTATTACTCCCAGGAACTGTTATCTCTTTACCGTCCTTATACCTTATTGAAGAAAAATGTAAGTCAAAAATAAAAAAAACACGCTAAAGCGGTGATCAATTGAATATGATTTATAAGGTTTTACTTTTTTCAGGGATTCCACAGAAACTTATTATTTTACATGGAATAATAAATTTCATGAGAAGTGTCTATTCTTTTAATCGTTATTAACGCTCATAATTTATAGAATTGAAACATGTATTGTAGTCAAATAATGCGAAATACATGTTGCATTTTTAAGTATACACCAATAGGCTTACCATGAGTATGTATCCGGTGGTGGTTTTCCAATAGCTTTACATGTAAAGTTAACGCTGTCTCCTTCAATGGCAATTTTACTAAAAGGATGATGTGTTACTTCTATTCCCTCTGAAATATAGAATTTGAAGTATGAGGTGGTTGGCTATATAGGATTTGAACCTTTGACAAATCTGAGAGAAGCTATTTGACAGCTCGTCTGGGGAATTTTGTTCATATTTTATAAATCGATGGCTTATTATGTATAGGGCCTCTGATCAAGAAGAAATCTTCCTTTAATCTGATTTTTAAAATCTGATGGCTTTGCCTTGACTTCTATTACTGTTTGACTACAAATTAAAAGAATTTATTCTTTGGAAAATCTTAATTTATCATGAAAAGTATGTTCATAGTATGTTCGGTCGATGTATTAAAGTCTTATGGACCAGGTGAAACACAAGAATTAATGTCTTGTCCCCGGGCCTCTTTTTCTGTTTATGGGAATAGTTGACATTCACAGAAAAGCAATTTGATATTCAGAAACATGATGTCAAACTGTTTTTGACACATTGTGTCTTTCAGCGGTGCTTCCTTGTTGAGTTCTTTTTCTCATTTATGCTCTTTTGTTGCAAGTACCTCTTAATGTCAACAACTTAGGATTAAATAGTTGTAAGTTTGTCAACAACAATCTTTAGATAAGTCTGAAACTTGACATTTCTTCACTTTACGTCCTGGTTCATTTTAAAGTAATTTCATTCAATAGACCCAACAAATGTTCTTTTGCCACCTCCAAGATGTGACATATCAAGCATTTGGGATTTGTAACAAATATTGCACTTTTTAAGTGACATCCTGTCATGTTAATTGTCAAATAACAAAAGTAGAGAAATACTCGCCTAATGCTTGCATTATGATCTCATAAGACGTTCCATCATCAACACCTATAGACGTGACATTGGTCATGTATTTCTCTTTCTCGCTCACAAGTTCAGTATTATCACAAAGTCCAAGCAGTTCCAAAGCCCCTGATGTACTGGTCAGCCCAATAGTCTCATACTCTACGCCTTTTAAGGCTACCCGGACCCCAGCTAGAGGGACATGTTTAGTATTGTACACATTGATGTGCCTTGTTGTCATTGGGCATTCACATGCTGTGCAGTCCTGATTTCGTTGTTGGCCTGTCTGACAAATCAGGCTGCAATCTTGACAAAATAAACAGAAAAAATATTAAAAATTTAAACTTTCCCCCTAATTTTGGTGTTTTAATTCAATATAAGCACAAATGTTTTTTTTTGTAGATTATCAAATGCATCACTTTATACGCATTGTTCTAGCACTTCGTATGAAAAATTGAATATGTTAATAAAAATGATAAACCCTCAAAATAAGGCAATAATTTTGACAAGTCTATGTTTAAAACACAGCATATCATGTTTCTAAAATTTACTATTGATTTCAACTATTTAAAACGTATTTTTCTCTCAAACATTTTTCTGCACTCTCCTATTTTTCAAAAACAAAAAAAGAATTTTAATTTTCTCAACACAAAATTAATTTTGCTGAATGCTTTGCAATTTGCATACAGTATTGCCTCTTCGTAGATATGTGTGAAAAAAGTCCAACAAACACATCTATCTGTTATTTAAAAAGCACGAGTCACATCTATTAAATTATTAATACATTGTTTTGTTTCATGAAAAGGAAAGGAGATGTGTATAATCACCTGGGCATCTGCCATTGTTGCATGCTCTAGTGACCTCCTCTGAACCATCACAGTCAACATCAGTTGGGGAAGATTTCTGGCATATACGCGTTCTTCTCTGTACCCCTTCTCCACAAGTAACACTGCATTGTATCCATACAGACCAGCTGCTCCAGAGACCATAAACAACTAAAAAACGTATATCTTAGAATCTTTGTTGCAATGACTGAACTAACAGAAATTTCATCTGTGGATTAATTTTAACAATGATACATTTTTATTTACCTATTCTCGCTTCTCTCCCATCAATTATTTCAGTGGCTGTTGTGGCCATAGGAGGTGTGGTTGTCGTCGTTGTTGGTGGCGTTGTAGTTGTCGTCGTCGTTGTTGGTGGCGTCGTAGTTGTTGAGGTTGTTGTTGAAGGCGTCGTAGTTGTTGGTGGCGTCGTAGTTGTTGAGGTTGTTGTTGAAGGCGTCGTTGTTGGTGGCGTTGTAGTTGTCGTCGTTGATGGTGCCGTCGTAGTTGTCGTCGTTGTTGGTGGCGTCATAGTTGTCGTCGTTGATGGTGGCGTCGTAGTTGTCGTCGTTGTTGGTGGCGTCGTAGTTGTTGTTGAGGTTGTTGAAGGCGTCGTCGTTGTTGTGGTCGTTACAGGAGTTTTTGTGGTAAATACAGGAGTTGTTGAGGTTGTTACATGAGTTGCTGTGGTAGTTGTATGAGTTATTTTGGCTGTCATATGAGTTGTCGCAGGAGTTGTCGTGGTGGTCGCATGAGTTCTTGTGGCTGTTACAGGAGCTTCTACTGCTGTTGTAGGAGTCGTTGATGATGTCACAGGATTTGCTTTGGTTGTCATATGGATTGCTGCGGTAGTTGCAGTTGTTGTGGTCGGCCTTGGGTCTTTGGTTGTCGCAGGAGTGTCTGAAATTATTCAACAAATACAAAAGATTAATACAACACAATAGATTAAATATAAACGCAATCCTGAATAGTGCATTCTTATATACACTTACCTGTAAATGATCCCGCAAAGTGCATCCCTATAATTGCACCTCCAACAGCAATGACTACACATACTGCTACAAATGCTATGATCATGGCCAATTTTGCAAAGTTTGAGGGATCTTTAATCTCTGCATAGATTGATGTTGATGTGGAACTATCATACCTGAAATAAAAGTATATATCAAGAATAATGATATATGTATGGAAATGGTCTTTTTATTGGTTCATTTAATCCGTTTTGAATGTTCATTAGTATAAGGAATTTCTATGAAATATGTTGATTTGGAATTGATTACAAAACAAAAAATCATCGAAATGTTTGTTTAAAGGCTTGTCTATTTTTGGATTTGTTCAACGTGAACATTAAGATGATCTCATGAGAAACCCATTTACATCAATATAGTCTATTCAAAACAAGACTTGTTAAACGCAAGCAGGTTACAATGCGATATCAAATTCAATATCCCTTCTTTCTTTCTATTGTCATTCATAAACCGTTTTGGAAAGACCTTGCAATATTTTAATTTATTGAAATGATTGAATCAGGAACTATTTAAGTTTTAAAGTAATTTCAGGCTTTTCTGAATTAAAGTTATGCGAAGTTATACCACTCTGCCTTCTATCTTGAATGATGTCTTACCTTATTGTTGGCGGCAGATCCTGTCTAGGTTCATTCCCATTCAGACCTGGATAGACTGGTTCTTTGCCCCCTGTAAGGTATGTGTAGAAATGTTCTCCTCTAGGCCCAGTAGGACTACCATAGGCAGATTCCTCGCTATAGTTCGGAGTTGAGGGCACCTCATAACTGTTCCCACCTCTGTTGGAAGACATTCTGAAAATTTGATAATGTGTAAGTAGGCTATTCTGTATTATATTATACTTTATGTAAGTGTCCTGGACGAAACCCTAACCCCCCTATCACACCAAACTAGTTCTCACCCGTTCTTGCCGTCGTAAAACGGGCTCAATCTGGCTCTGGTCGGGAAATATGCCTAAAATAATTAGTTTCTTCGTTCATAAACAGTCTTCAATACGTCCATCTCATTCGCAGTTCGTTCAGGTCGCACCACGTCGGTGTGCAACGTCGTATAACGCGTCCCTTAGTCTAGAAGGTCATCATGACCTGATTACAGAACGGTATGGTCGCCATCGAATTTTGAATCGATCCAAAATTCTAAAATCACCTTCCCGTCTGAGAACGTTCATGAAGTTCGTAAACAGACCGTAGAACGTTGTAGCTACGTTCATTCAGTTCGCACACAGTTTAAAACCAGTTTTGAAGAACGCAGTGGCAACTTGTTTGGTTTGATAGCTATATTTTTGCTAACTCGTTAATAAGCAGTCTTAAATACGTTCTTAATCAGTTTAAACCCGTTTGCAATTAGTTTTACCCCGTTCTCAATACGTCCTCAGACAGTTCATCTCGTTGTTAAAACGTCCCTAGTAGGATTAAAGTACGACGGTTCCGTTCGTAGTACGTCCAGCTACGTTTTCGTAGGACTTGCAAGAACGGGTAAGAACTAGTTTGGTGTGATAGGGGGGTTAGACACGTTGAAATTAGTGTTACTGTATATGACATAAGTAAAATGATTTTTAGTGACACAAATACTTGTTAGAAATTCACTTATGAATAATAAAGCATTGAGTGTCATTTGATTTATTAAAATATTTAAAATTAAAGAGAACTAAAATATAAATTATAAATATAAGTTATATATATTCTCCCGGACCTTAAACATAGGGCCACAGAGCATAACCCATAGGTTTATGCGTGCATTGCCTATAATTATTTCCATTTGTCTCTCGTCATAAAAATTCAATAATGTTGGTACGCTAATTAAGATATGATTAACTGTCAGAGGGTTGTTAGACCAAACTTTAGCGTTTTAGGGTAAAAATGCAATAATTATCTAATCATAAAATGGAACCCTGTGATATCATTTTGAATGAAATGAGGATTGAAATGAACATTGCCTCCATAATTTGGTTTTCGTTTTTAAATTATCATCAAAGATACTTAAAAAGTACAAGTGATGTTAAACATTTAATATTACACATCGTATGTTTACAAGTTTACTGCGGAAGCAGTAATTTAATTGTTCTTTTGACCAAACAGCCCGCAATGTTAAGACTATTGATATTCACGAAGTTAAACTAGAAGTATTTTCTAAAATAATTTTAAGAAATAATTTATATTTACCTGGATCTTTACATAAATGGAAAAGCAGAACCATCGGCACGCAACGTTATTGTTAGAATGATCCAGATCAACAACAAAATGGTGTCTAAAATAAAAATGTAACCAGGAAGTTCCTAAATAATTATTCACCTGTTCCCTGGAATTTCCAAATTGTAGTTTGCAGACACAAAGGTTTACACTATTGACATTGTCATGCTCAGGTAAAATATCTTCCTTGTTTCTAACAGAACTTTTCAACACTTTTATTATTGTGAGATACTTAGTATTTAAAATTATCAAAAGGGTACTGAGAAATACAGAAGGAAATGTTCGTGGGTCACCCTCATTTGTACTCTTTTGTGCTATCCCATTTAAAAGAAAAAAAAGTTGAATACAAAAAGAAATAATGTAATCAAAGTTGTTTACCCGGCATCCTTAAAAGTAAGTGCCAATGAAATGCATATACAAGGGTCGATCCAGATATTCTGATAAAAATGATCTAATTTTTTTATTTTTGGGAGTTATAACATCAAACTTGCACAAAATGAGGATAATTTAATTGCTCATAAAATATGTAAGTTTAGTCAACATACGGGCACGAATGCGTTGCTAGGGTAAAAAATTGGTAACCATGGAAACGGGACCTGGGACAAGTAGCTTTTCTGTCGCTTCATATTTTGTCTTTACATACTTTTATATCCATTATGACCCATTTTAGAGTCAAATATTCTTAAATTAGCATTTTAGCAGGTGCACCTACAATCAATTAATGTTTTATGACATCACAACAGACAATTGTCCATTGTGAGCAAATAGAAGCTGGCTCCAAATTCAAATCACCTGAGCAAGTTTTGTCAAAGTGTGCAAAAGTGAAAATCAAAATGTCAGACTGCATAAGTGCAAAAAAGGCTAAACACGAAGTACAAAATCTGACAGACTTCATCCTCCACCACGATAATGCCCCATCTCATCGAAGTGAATGTGTGCAAACTGCTATCAGAGAGAGCATGGGTATGGAGCTGCTCGGTCATCCCCCATATTCCCCTGATTTAGCGCCATTGGATTTTCTGATTTTTGGGAAACTGAAGAGTGACCTCAAAGGCAGGCGTTTTCATGATGTCAATGAGATGAAACAGGCAGTCAGCGTTCCCTGCACACCAACTTCCCTGACTGCAATGATGTATATACTCGCTGGGTTGATAGACATAGACGATGTGTGGCTGCACAAGGACATTATTTTGAGAGCATGCGTATATAAAGGACATAATAGTTGATTTAATCAGTCTGTGAGACTATTGATTTTGTAGTGAAACTTTTATTTTAGTTTTACTGTCCCAGGTGCTGTTACCATGGCAACGAAAAATTTTCCCGTGAGGAGAGTTATGAAGGCCAATCAAATTTATATTTTTATATCTTTTGCCAAAATGAATTATGTTTTGTCTGTCCAAATTACAAGTAATAACTTCCAAAAATAAAGAAATGAGAGCATTTTTATCAGAATATCTGGATCGACTCTTGTAATATTAACCTTAAGTTTTTATCTACTTACGTCATTAAGGCTTTGATATTAAGAACTGATGTATTTATTTAGTAATTTTCATTAAGCTCATGTAATATCTGATGCAGTCCACATTGTTAATGAATAGAAATAACCAAACATTCGATTACTCCCATTTTCTAAGATACACAGGTATTTTCCTTTGCTTTTTCAGAAATTCTTAATGAGCTTTTAATAAAACTTTGAAGAACTATTTTTTGATACAGTTTTTATCAAAATAAAAAATACACAAGATGCGTTTACATGGTTTTAGTAAAGAACTCTTGTGTCAACGTCAAGAAACACCCCAATGTCTGAATATATGTACGAATAGCTTGAACTTATAATACTAGAGAATACTATTTAGCATTGGCTCATTACACCCAATAAAAAGAAAGCCTGCATCTATAATTCTACATTATCACGATTATGTAGAGCAATGTACCAATCTACTATTTGATGGATGCTGAAGATATATCTTAATGATATATGAAAAAACATTAAATATTTCAAAGAACTACCCCAGAGAGCTATAAATGATACAATGGATTACATTACTTTCTATCCCTCCCTTGAATCCATCTCAAATAGCGGTCATAAATCCGCCAAATAAGAGTGATGTTGACTACCAAAAAACGAACGCAAATTATCAATCATGCAAATATTCAACCCCAAAGTCCGGAACTGAGCTTCAAATGGATATATTACGGAAAGCGAAAGGGGATATACCGCAGAATTTAAAATTCAATGGAGTTTTAACTTGGGAGTGATATCACACACCGCGGCCCAGTCAGATAGATTTCTGCGCACTTTATTTATTTAATTCACTTTGCACAACGCGCCCCCTGTAATTCATTCAGTGCGCAATTAAAAATTGTTTATGAGTGATATCGCACACCGCGGCCCAGTAAGATCGATTTCTGCGCACTTTATTTATTAACACACTCAAAATATCGCGCTGAAGCTTGTATATGCTGGCGCGATGTAATTATAGTTTTCTGTTAATAAATGCCCAACAAGAAAGGGTAGCACAACGAATTCAACTTTTTTCGAAAGACTGCAGACTTGACCTGCGAAATTGTAATTTTGGATCACAGTGATGCCTCTAGAGAGGATATCTATGAGAATTACAGATTATAGTGCGCAGAATTATAAAGTCAAACTGACTTCAAAATGGTAATACACAGTGTACACTGCCATCTTTCAATAAAGTAACTACAGACCTTCGTATACAAAATACCAGAATGATTGATGTAATACCTGTATACCATTTCTTCTGGGAGAAGGAAAGTTCCTATATGTATTCCATGGCCGTAGCCAGGGGCCTCACCCCCCTCCCCCTTGCCAAATATTCGTTCAAAATCATGCAGTTTTTCACCATTCTTAGCACTTTTCGCATGATTTTTTTGCCATAACTGTCAAAAAGCTCCCCCCTCTTGGCAAAATTTCCCCCTTGGTAAAACCACTCCCCCAGGTTAATCCAGGATACGGGTCTGTATTCTTAGACGAGATTGTTCAAGAACATAAGGTAGACATAAGTGCCACCTGTTAAAAGCTAGGAGATCTTTTCTAAGTTATTAAGTCATCAATCAGCAGACTGGTAATTGTATCCCCCACCCACTTCAAACTCCATACACTAACATACTATTACAATTTTATCTGTGTTTATTTGACTGTAGAAGGTGTACATTCATAGCATTGAATTGCATTTCATTGCATTGTATTGTATTGTATAGCACATCATTGTATTGTATTGTACTGCATTTTATTGTATTGCACTGCATTGTATTCTATTGCATTATATTGTACTGTATTGCACTGTATTAAATTATATTGCACTGCATTGTACTTTATTGCACTGCATTGTATTGTACTGCAGTATACTACATTGTATTGCGCTGCATTGTATTGTATTGCACTGCATTATAATGTATTGCACTGTACCACATTGTGTTGCACTGCATTGTATTACACTGCATTGTTTTGAATTGCACTGCAATATATTGCACTGCACCATATTGTATTGCATTGCATTGCAGTGCACTGCATTGTATTATATTACACTGTATTGTATTGCACAGTATTGTATTGCATTGTCTTGAATTACACTGCATTTTATTACACTGCATTGTATTTTATTGCACTGCATTGTATTTTACTGCAGTGTACTGTATTCTATTGCACAGCATTGTTTTGTATTGCACTGTATTGTATTGCATTGTATTGAATTGCACTGTATTGTATTTTATTGCACTGCATTGCACTACATTGCATTGCACTGTATTGAACTGCGATGTATTGTATTGCACTGTATTGTATTGCACTGCACTGAACTGCGATGTATTGTATTGTACTGTATTGTATTGCACTGCACTGTATTGAACTGCGATGTATTGTATTGCACTGCATTGTATTGAACTGTACCACATTGTATTACACTGCATTGTATTAAAATGAACTACATTGTAACTGTATTTTATTGCACTGCATTGCACTAAATTGTATTGCACTGTATTGAACTGCGATGTATTGTATTGCACTGCATTGTATTGCACTGTACCACATTGTGTTGCACAGTATTGTATTACACTGCATTGCTTTGTATTGCACAGCAATATATTGCACTGCACCATATTGTATTGCACTGCATTGCAATGTACTGCATTGTATTATATTGCACTGTATTGTATTGTACAGTATTGTATTGCATTGTCTTGATTTACACTGCATTTTATTACACTGCATTGTATTTTATTGCAGTGTAATGTATTGTATTGCACAGCATTGTATTGTATTGCACTGTGTTGTATTGCATTGTATTGAATTGCACTGTATTGTATTTTATTGCACTGCATTGCACTACATTGTATTGCACTGTATTGAACTGCGATGCATTGTATTGCACTATATTGTATTGCACTGTACCACATTGTATTGCACTGCATTGTATTGAAATGAACTACATTGTATTGCACTGCACGGCATTGTTTTGCACTGTATTGCATTGCACTGCATTGTATTGCATTATATTGCACTGTATTGTATTGCATCGTATTGCACTGCATTTTATTGTATTATATTGCACTACATTGTATTGTATTATATTGCATTGCATTTTTTGCATCATATAACACTGCTTTGTATTGCATCATATTACACTACATTGTATTGCATCATATTGCACTGCATTGTATTGCATCATATTGCTCTGCATTGTATTGCATCATATTGCACCGCATTGTATTACATCATATTGCACCACATTGTATTGCATCATATTGCACTGCATTGTATAACATCATATTGCACTGCATTGTATTGCATCATATTCCGTATTTACCATTTCGTTACAGTTTTATTACATTAAATGTTATTTATAAGATTATAATTTTCAAACATTGAAAATATTTTATACAATATCAATTAAAATATATGAAATGGCCCAAAATAATATATTTTCAATGGAACCCTTTGCAAGGGTCACTTCAACATAACGCAACGTGCAATCTGTATGCATACGCCCTCTTTTAATGAACATTATCTTTGAGACCATATTAGAATCGAATCTGATAAAA